CTTTAGTGTATACATTTTCTGGTCTAGTTACTATCAGTGTGATCCTGCTATGCATCATAGGTCAAGCCAGATTACTTATCTGTAAATATGCTGTTCCTCTGCAACTTCAGGGAAGGCCTTCTGAGTATACGTCAAAGAAGATAAATATTATATAGAGCAGGCATCACTTGAGCTAGCTAGGGTCAGGATATTTTCTGTGCCCCACAAATGTTGCCACAGAGCCCCGAGTATCTAAGGCATGTGCCAGCCAGCTCAAATGAGTAATTAATGAGACATTATGATAACTGTCTTCTGTTGTTAGGCCACATACTCTCCCAGATGTGGGAGAGGACTATGTAAGAGCATAAATATCAACAGGTAAATATCCCTGACAGCCATCTTGAAGCTGTTCACCGCATTAGTTTTTGCTCCTGTCATCAATATTTCCTTCTTGAACTTTCTTTAAATTTATTTTACTGGTTTTTTTTCTACCAGCCAAAAAAGTAAATGGTTCATCTTTAATATCAGTCTTTCTTCTTTTCTAATATGTGAATTTAAGAGTATAAATTTCACTTAAGTTTAATTTTAGCTGTATCCTGTAAGATTTCATCTGTAGAAATATCTTATTGTTCAACTCAAATCATTAAAATGTTCATTTTTCTAACTTCTTTTTCTTTGACTCATGGGTTATTCAGATACATGGAAATTTTGTAGGTTTTAAAAAAATTCAGCTTATACTTTATTGCATTGTGGTCAAACATGTACTATTATAAAAACTTGCTTTGTGGCTAAATAGAAAGTCAATTTTTGTAGATGTTTACTTTGAGCATGAAAAAGTATGGATCTGGGCTGGATTCTAGAGACTATAAGGGGAAACGTGGTTTATAGACAGTGGGTGATAGGTGGTGGGTATGAGGAAAAAAATTAGGACAGTTATGTCTGCTTAAAAGTGTTATTTGTTAAATCAGTCTGAAGATTGTTTCATGAATGCTTTATCAAATTATGAAAGCTTAAGTGAAATAATGTTTGAAGATTATAAATGATAAACCTATATTTACAAGAAAAAAGTCAAAACCAATTGTTTGTGCTGTCTGTAAATGGTTTACTCTCGTGAATATCTGCCACTTTGTCACCAAAAGAGCACCTTGCCTAAAAGAGAGACTGACAAGTATGCAATGTTCACAATCTTTTGCAAAATTGTAGTTAATTATTAGCTTGTATCTGTAAGTTATTATTATAAATATTACCTGTATTTTTGTTTTATACAACTTTATAAACATTTAATAAATTCATAGGAAAACATTTTTATGAACTATCTTTCATCTCACTAATTATTTCTTCACCTTAGCTACTGTTAAATCCATCTGTTAGGATTTTTCTTTTACTTTCTTTTTTTTTTGTCCCTAGTGCCCTTGACATGACCTCACGCTATTTCCTAAAAATTGATGTCAGAATCATGAGAATGAATCCAGGTCTCTTCCCAATAATTAACCACATATATCACATATCCATGACTTCATTTGATTATGTTTTGGCCCTGAGTTTATTTGCAACTCGTATGACCTCAACAGATGATATGTTATCTAGTTTTAGAAGTTATTAGTGTTTGAATGATTACCTCAAGGCAATCGTCATCAGTCTTCAATGACAGATATTATGCGTATAGCCTTTCCAATGAAGAAACGTCTTTTGTGCACTTTGAAAGTAAAAAGGGGACCAGCAAATGGTGTTTGATTATGTCACTGGACTATCATGCAGTAGACTGCAGTTTGAGTCCTGGACCTGGTAGTTTAAAACTCATACCAGGCACATATGTACGTGTGTGTGCCCAAGAACTCAAGGAAGAATAGAGAAGAGATTGCACATGGCCACCCCCCTGGGAGGTGATTTCTGGCTTTCTGTCTCTCTGTCCCTGTCTCTCCAGCGAGCGCACATGCCTGATAGCAAAAATCTCTCTTAAGAAAAAAAAAGAGGGACCAGCAGAGAGAGTAATGGGAGTCTCTGGACTCCCACATAGTCTACTGCTGCTCGAGTCCTGGATCCGACAACTTAAAACTCACATTGGGCAGACACGTGTATGTGTGTCCCAAAGTCCTGAGAGGAGGATAGAGGAGAGGGGATGCCAGTATGGCAATCCCCCCAGGAGATGATTTCTCACTTTCTGTCTGTCTCTCCAGTGAGTACATAAGCCCTATAGCAAAAAAATCTAAAAAAAAGAAAGCCAAAAGTAAAAAATATTGCCCTTGGATTGTGAAGGTCTTTGTGAATATACATATACACAATTTCCGAGCTGCTATGCCTGAAGATGTTTCTTGATTATCTATTAAGTTTTAAATGTCAAATATTAGATTTTCATTTTTCTAAGTTCAAATCTGTTAGGTAATTTCTCATCATTTACTGCACCATAAATTTAAGCTTATTTTTAATTTTCATAGAAACTATAAATACAGTTGCCAAACCTATGCTTGATCGTTTCCGTTTATGAAACCTTTGCAAGTCTATTTCTGCCACTATTTGTTTATACTGCTGATTGTTTATTCTATGAACTACTGTTCATTTTCCTTGGAAAATCATTTATAAAGGTTTCTTAAGACCTATGTCAAAATCCAGAAAGATGGGGCCAGCAGGTGGTGTGGTGGTTAAGGATGCTGGACTCCCACATGGCCGACCGTGGTTTGAGCCCCGGACTTGGTGGCTTGCTTTCTCTCTCTCTCTCTCTCTCTCTCTCCCTGGTCAAATTAAAAATAAATAAATAAAGTTAAATAAAATAATTCTTTTTTAAAAAATCCAGATAGATGTGCTTGTTTCTGGCCAGTGAGGTGATATGAGCCAACCTGGTATGACTTTACACTAAATGCCCAGTTTAAGTTTTTTTGACCAATTAGTGGCAATTTGGGCTCAAAATCTGAGTGACAAATGGCATGTGGTTATCACTATTCAATGATATAAAATGTTTATCTTGCTTTTCTCATTGCCAAGGCAATATTCTTTTTAGGCTTCTGAGACTAGAAAATGGGGCTTGTTCATACTGACTTCAACATTAGGTAGATGGTTAGCCCATTTGGGTCACAGTGTTTTGGTTTTACAGAAGGTGGTATACTCTTCCACTCCTCGGTTCTGGGCGACCTGGGTTTTCACTTCTGTGTCCCTGCCCTATGACACCTTAGTACACAAAGGTCAGGTTCAGCCAATTCAGAAGATGCTCTTGGGAAAATAGTGATTTTAGTTTTACTTACATCTCTGGATTTCTGGTTTTACTTAAATAATGACTTAGTGATTCTATATCATCTTGAGGTTTAGTCGATGCTTTAAAAATATTTTAAAGCATTTTTATCCATTATTTTTTTAAGTTTATTTATTTTGAGAGACAGAAAGACCTTCCGCACCACCACACTTTTCATGTGGCAATCCATCCCCATCTTCAGCCAGTCAAGATCATGAGCATGCGCATTGTCCCCACTGTGTACCAGAGACCTCGGAACACGAACTTAGGATGTTTCCCATGTAGCTTCAGTACCACAGAATGTTGTATTATTCCTGTACCACCAAGGCTGGCCTATCCATCATCTTTTTTTTTTTGGAGAGATTTTCACTATAGGGCGTGTGCGCTTGCCAGACAGACAGAGAGAGACAGAGAGACAGAAAGCAAGAAATCACCCCCCAGGGGGGATGGCCACACCGCAATCCCTTCTCCTCCATTCTCCTCTCGGGATCTTGGGCATGCACGCACGCACACGCACCCGGCGTGAGTTCAAGCCACCGGGTCTGGGACGCGAACCATTGTCGACTACATGGGAGTCCAGCGACATAGCCATTACGTTAACTGCTGGTCCCCATCATCTTTTGTTTTTGTAAGGCCATTTGTTTCTAAATTATTTAGACATTTAGAAGAAAAAATAGAGAGGAAAAGCATTCATGGGACAAAGAAATGTGGTATTATCTCTTGAAGATAATTTTATAGTTTTATCAACTGGACTAGGGAGAAATGTTCACATGTTGGACTATTCACTTTGAAAGCTTAATAATGTGATTGAATGTATAAAAGAAAATGCAATAAAAATATTTAAAAGGAAAAAAAGTAAAAAAAAATAATAATTTAGCTTACCATATTTCCAGAAACAATTTCCCTATATATTTTAAATAATGTTATCTCATTTAATAAAAAAAAGCAATCCTATTGAACTTGAAATTTATTGAATAATTTGAAGGGAATTTACATCTTTATGATACCAGTTTAATTCATCTAAGAGCCTAGACAATATATCTACATATTAAGAACACTTTCCAGGTCTTTCACTGAAGTGTTTGATATTTTCTCTAGAGGTCTTGTGTATTCTTTGTTAACTTATTTACTTATTGAACACTGTATAGTTTTGATGCTATCGTGACTGATACCTTATCTTTGATTAAAATTTACAATTGTTATTACCAGGGTAGTTTAGCTTATATTTGGCAATAGTTTTGAATGTTTTAATGTAATATCTCTTGGTTTGATTTTTTTATCTCCAAGTATGATTATGCCATTTACAAACAAGGATAGTTCTGTTTCTTCCTTTATAATATTTACACTTATTTATGTTTCTTCTATTACCATACTGGCCAGGACTTCTATTCTTGTATTAAACAGTCATAGTAAAATTGAGAAATCTTGTCTTATTTCCAAAATTAAGGGAAACTCTCAAGGATTTTGTGAACATCTTGTTCTCTGCATTTGATCTCCTTTTCCTTAAACCAGATAGAGTGGTTTCTGCTATATGATATTGAAATATATCAAATGAATGTAGAATGAGAATTATCCTGAGATCACAAAATTAGCATTTAAACATTCAAAGATTAAAAAAAAAAACAAATCATCTTAAATCTAAAATTCTACAAATGGCTGAAAATATTTGGAGGCTGATATCACATAGGTTCTTTGTAACTCCTGAAGAGCTCAGCTGTCCCCCAACCATCACCCTAGTATCCCCAAACTATGTCTCCGACAATTAGGCAGAAAGACTAGGAAAAAAGAGGAGAACGAATCATCAAAATGGAGCATTTATTGTTAGGGCAATTCTTTTCCTTCCCAAGAAAAGTGGGGAAGAGGTTCAGGATAATCACATAAACATTGGCAGTGCTTATATTTGGGGGAAAGTGATTTGGATTACTGTCTATGTAAAAACTCTGTTGGTCAACCTGTACATGCATTAGAAGGGAAGAAACAAATTATCAAAGGACAATGACAGGACAAAGAGAGGATGAACATGGGGCAATCCAGGCTCCTATCTTTCGGCAATGATGGGTAAATGGTTTATTTTAGGAGGAGTCCTAGCTTGTGCCATCTTCCTAGGGCCTCTCCCCAAAAGTTAACATCCAGGGTGAGAGATATAAATAGCTGAAGACTGAGAGCAAGAATTCCACCTGGGCAAGAGCAGGGGCACTAAGCTGAAGCTGGATCTTCTAGTTTCTCTTGTCGATAAGTAATACTTCAGCTATAGGTATTGGTACCAAGAACAACCTATTAGAAATGGACAGGCCAAGTCTGTCATATTTTTCAGAACTTGACTTCCTGTGTGTCTATACTCTGAGAGAATACAAGTTGCCTTGGACAGGCTCATGGTGCCAATTCTCCCTTCTAGCTGCAGGCTGTTACACTTGATTAGCAGTTTGTGCCCAGCATAACTGGGGGAAGAGAATGGGCATTGGAAATATTAGAACATTAGCTTCCACAGGAGACAGAGAACATCCCATCACAGTTGTAGAAGACAATTTTGCTCAGAGTTACTAAGGAACTCTAGGTGAGCTAATAACCTCAATGGTGCAGCTTACTATAAAAAGAATATTGGGGAAAAAAAAAAGAATATTGGGAGTATTATACAAAGAGTTGAGAAATTTGACTTCTCATTGGGATCCTACTAACTTGACTTGCAGTGTGGTAGATATCACATAAAACCTCTCTCTGCTCCTTTATTTTTACATAAGAAAAGCTCTATACACTTTAGCTGGTGTTTGTTATTTACTTACAGTTCTACTTATCCTACAGTTATATGTTTTCTTTTATGAAACAGGTAGATTGGGGAGAATATCTGGTCTAGAGTTCACAGTACAGAGTTTTGTGAAATATGGTGCCTATGAGAATTTTCCCGTGGTACACAGAAGCCACAGTGCTTCCCTGAAGCACAGAGCCGTTATTGGCATACACGGTGCTCACCCTGGGCTTCTCAGACAAGGCATTATGGATGCGAAGTACCTATAAAGAGAAGATCTTTCATTAGTATAGTGTAGGAACAAACACCCACCTATCAGTGGCTTCTTTCCCAACTATCCCAGGACTAATTTATTTTGTTCAGAAATAAGTAAGTTAAAAACCTGTATCTCTTCAATATGTTTTCTTCTTCTGATGATGATGAAAGTATTAATGTCCTAAGGGTATCTATGCACCAAAGTGAATTGGTTATCTGACATTAGCCATATATCTCAATAAATGGCTTAACAATTTTGACAGTTCAGTCTTTCTGTATAGAAGGAGATAAAACCCAGTGAATACTTTCATCTATTTCTTGAGAAGTGGTAGTGGTTCTCTTGCTGTAGGGAGGATTTTGTCTTGGACTAAGCCTATGGCATGGAGTGGGAAAAATAGGACAAAATGGTAAGGAGACACACCCAGCTAGCCAGTGAACCCAGCTTTGTAGCTGGTAGGATGGCGGTCATCAGAGCTGGAGCATCTTTACTATAAAGTGGCTAGGAAGCATAATGAATTAATACTACTCTGGAATTCTACTGGATACCTCATTGCCTAGTACTGTGTTTCATCTCAGAATTAACACACTTAGCTGTGCTAATCAGTAAAGGTTAAGCATTCAGGGTTCCAAATGGGCTAGATGAAGGTTAAACAGAACACGATGGGAATTAAAGGAAAACAGTCATAATTTCATGAGTCTATATCAGCATCTCTTATTATGACAGTTTAGCTTACTAGGTTTATTTTAGTGTTGTTGTTGTTGTTTTTATGTTTTTTGTTATAGTGCAAGTGTGCTTGACTGAGACTGAGAGAGGGAAATTGAGAAATCCCCCCCAGAGGGGAGGGCCACACCACAATCCCTTCTCCTTCATTTTCCTCTCAGGATTATGGGCATGCATGCACATACACTCGGCATAATTTTCAACCTATCAGGACTGGAACTTGGACCATAGTCAGCCACGTTGGGAATCCAGCATGTTAACCACCATGCCACCTGCTGGCTCCTAGTTTACTTTCTTTCCAGGGAAGATCCTACAACCTTTTCTCAGGTTTGTTACACAAAAATACTCAATTTGGACCACATAGAAAACATGAAATTCAACTAAAAGTAAAGGTCAGTAATTGTGAGAAAATAAGTCATATCTAAAAATAATCATGATTAAACCTGAAAATAGAGATATAGCAAAGGATCCCAAATACTTTTCCTATCATCCTATGTTTTTAATTTCCTTAAAGCAGACATTGCATGGTTGGGCTTTCGTAGGAAAGAGTATTTTTTGTTTGTTTGTTTGTTTGTTTTTGCTAGAGGGCATGTGCAATTGCCAGAGAGAGTACTCCACAATGGGACAGGGTCATAACACAGTCCTTTTTTTCTCTATCCCACCGCATGCACGTGCACACACCGGTGTTTTTTTCAAGATGCTGAGTCTGGGATTTGAATTGCAGTTGACCATGTAGGACCTGGTTCCATAGGTCCAGAGCCTAATGGCTGCACTACAAGGCTGATCTGTAGGAAAGTTTTATCTATCACATCTGTGGGCACATATCTGAGACAAGGATCTTTTACTACCTCGCCAAAAATCTCTACTCTTTTCATATGCAGAATTTGCTCAGTTCTGGAACATCAAATATGATCCTTTAGGGGCCAGCAGGTGGCGTGGTGGTTTAAGGACTCCCAGTTTGAGTTCTGGTGGCTGGCTTTCGCATTTTCCCAGTCCATCTCTCTCTGTGCGCACATGTGCCCTATAGCAAATTTTAAAAATAATAATATATAAAATTAAGTAAATAATTCTTTAAAAAAGAATGTTTCTTTACTCTTCCCAAATCACTAAAACAGTGTTCATTCTTGCAACTTTGTCTGAGAACTCAGAGAAATACAGGAGCTTACTTCTGATCCTGGAGGATCCTCAGGGTTGTACATCAGCAACTTCATAGCATTAGGATGGCATCCTGCCAAAATATCTCCCGAGTCAGGATCGACAGTCAAGTTATCCACAAAGGTGCCCAGATATATTACCTTCCAACAAAGAGAAGATAGTGAAGACCCTGTCTCTATTTTTGTCCCTACCTTCCCTTGTACAACACCCCTTCAGTTTCTGCTGGCCCCCGAAATTGGTATATTTGGAGGACTTTGCTAGTATATTTTAGAAGTGGAAGCACGATCTGAACAGCATTGTTCTAAAATAGTCATGTTTCCTTCATTCTGGGAGTACAATCCTGAGCTGAGCATGGGAATAATGTCAAAGACCAGTTGTGTGGGTAACCAAGGTGCTTTTACCTTCAGTGGAGTTAAGTCCCAGTTATGTTTTTCCATTATATGAATGTTCTTAGCTGCTACATCAGCTACATAGACATACCTTTGAAGTAAAGCACATTTATGTTTAAGCAAGTAGTAATGAGAGATGACTCTGTTATTTTGTTATAAACATTCACACTAGTCCAAAGACTCAATGCCTTTCTTTCTTTTACTTTCTTTTTCTTTTTTTTTTTTCTTTTTGAGGTTTTTGCCATAATGTATGTGAGCTCACTGAAGAGAGAGAGAGAGACAAGACAGTGAGAGGGAAAGTAAGAAATCTTCCCCCAAGTGGAGGATGACCACACTTCAATCCCTTTTCCTCCTGGGATCTTGGGCACCCGTGCACACACGCCTGGCATGATTTTCAAGCTACTGGGTCTGGGACTTGAACCATGGTTGGCCATGAGGGAGTCCAGCAATGTAACCACTACACCATCTGCTGGCCTCAGAACCAATGCCTTTCTTAACCACTGTAAGAGAAGATAATGGAGTGGTACTTTTAATATTTCTAAAGTTGTTTTCTTTTTCCCCCCATAGGACATGTGTGCTTACCAGAGAGAGACAGTGAGAGGGAAAGTAAGAAATTATCCCTTGGGGAGATGACCACACTACAATCCCTTCTCCTCCATTCTTTTCCTGGAATCTTGGGTGCATACGCCTGCTATGATTTTCAAGCCACTAGGTCTAGGACTTGAACCAGAGTCAGCCATGTGAGAGCCCAGCACTGTAACCACCATGCCACCTTCTGGTCCCTGAAGTGCTTTAAATAGGCTTTGAATATAAGATATAACTATGAAGTAATGAAACTGATTTGTCTATTTTTCTTTTTACTGAATGAAGGTAAACAGATCTCTTAAATAGCCAAGAGTCTGTACTTCCAAAAACTAGTGTTTGAACCAAAGTATCAGTTGACCAAGAAGCTCAATCACAATCACTTTTTAAAAGGAAGAACACTTGTTTTCCCTGTGGAAAACAGCTAATCTTTGTTTATAATTCCTAATTTCCATGTTAATATTCACTGTACTTTTCATTTTAAAAAACTCTCCATTTTTAAATTCTTACAAAGTGTTTCTTCATAAAATCTCATGCTATTTGTTTATTTATTTTAGTTTGCTATAGGCATACGTGCTTACTAGAGAAACAGAGAGAAAGAGAGGTAAAGTGAGAAATCAACCCCCCCAGGGGGGACAGCTGCACTGCAATCCCTTCTCCTCTTGGGGATTTGTGTGCGAGTAAATGCACAAACACACACACACATACACACACACTTACCCAACATTCTTTTTTCAACCCACCAGGTTCAGTACTCAAACCACACAGTTGGTCTTGTGGGAGCCAGCTGCCTTAACCTGCACATCACCTGCTGACCCCAGCCTATTACAATGATAATACTCAATCTAAGACCTCCTTCTTTAGTAAGACCTTTTGGATAAACTTAGTATAAGTGGCTAAATACCTTCAAGTCTTATAAAGGACAGAGTATTGCACACTCCTCCTCTTTCTAGTTAGGAATGTATGTTTCTAGACTCATGTAAAAATGTGGAACAAGACCTTGTATCTTTGATTCCAAATCTTTCCCTTTACTGGGGGTGGGGGAACTTGAAGCACACAAAAATAGGTACATAGTTTGGTTAATATCGCACATTCAGTGTGAATCCTGGCCACACTTGCATTTTTCATATGTATGTTGACTATTTAAACCCAAGGAAGAACCATCTCTTGAGGGAAGAAGCCCACCAAAGTGTCAAGGGGAAAAGGGTAGAAAAAATATGAAAAAACTCACTTCTTGTCTAAGGAGATGGTGATCCCGTTGGCAGAAATAAATCCAGTAACAGCCACTTTGACCTCTCTTGGGCTGTAGAAAAGAACATAACTCCAACGAAGATCCAAGAGCATCTCAAGGAGTGACAAGAAGAAGTTGGTAAAATAGTGGTCTCTGGTGGCATAGAACTGTTCTGGTCCAAGAACCACAATGTCATTCACACTAATGTTGGGGCAGAAAGTGAGAGAGAGAGACAGACCCACAGGGTATTTAAATGTCCTCATCATTGTCAAAATCACTAATCTCTACAGAGACCAATATGTTCATCAGTTTGAAAAAGCATACAGAAACTAGTATGAATTAAAGAGTTTCTCAGAAAGTACACAATTTGTATTGTTCCTGATGTTTTTTAAAGTCATTTATTATTTTTTCCACTCTTTGCTTTCACAAAAGAGAGTTAAAAGAAATACATAAATAAAGCTTAAACTTAAAAATCTATTTACTTGTAAATACTAATAAGAGTTATCTGTGGCAATTATAGTGTAGATTACTAATACTTACGGTTCTCCTCCTTTAGAAATTAGGCAACTCCATCTTTGGCCAATGAAATGATGTAATGTGTGTGGTTTCCAGATAGAAGACTTTAAAAGTCAGTGCTTAGAGGCCAGCAGGTGGCATGGTGGTTAAGGCACTGGACTCCCACACAGTGGACCGTGGATCAAGTCCTGGACCTAGAGACTTGCTTTCTTCCTTTCTTTCTTTATCTGTTTCTCATTGATGAGTGTGTACACCCAATAGCAAATTAATAACAAATAAAATTAAATAAATAATAATAAAAAGCCAGTGCTTGAGCCACCAAGTTTCTTACATGTTTCCATAATAATGAATAACTTTTCTGGTAACAGAGTAAGGTGATCCTGGGGCCCTAAATGAGGACAATGTGAAAATGAGTCCCTAAATAACCTCCTTTGAAAATGAGTGAGAAAATAACATGAAATGAAAACAATATTTTGTCATTTTGAGCCATTAAGATGTTAAGATTTCCCCTTTATGTTATGTATTGACCTTTACATTGTCTCTAAGTAGATGAGACTATGGACGATAATTTTTTTTATGTTCTCTAATATCATTAAACATTTATTTTTAGGTTTTTCCTATAGGTCATGTGAACTCACTAGAGAGAGACAGAGAGAGGGAAATGAGAAATCGATCCCCCTGGGGGGAGGAGAGATGGCTGGCTAAACCCCAATCCCTTCTCTTCTATTCTCCTCTTGAAATTTTGGGCATGTATCACATAAACCCAACCTGAGTTTCAAGTCACCAGGTCTAGGACTTGAACCATGGTCATCCATGTGGGAGTCCAGTGCCTTAAGCACCATGTCACCTGCTGGTCCCATTATTAAATTTTTTTTAATGGAGCAAGCCTTACTCCAGTAACCAGTAAAACATAATAAAGTCATTTATTTTCATATTTTAAAAAAAGACTCAAAAAAGTTATAAAAGGATTAAATATCTTTAAAGTTTAGGAAAGAAAAATTTAGATGAATCAGGAAATATTTGAGGTTATAGAAACTAGTATGAATTAAAGAGTTTCTCAGAAAGTACACAATTTGTATTGTTCCTGATGTTTTTTAAAGTCATTTATTATTTTTTCCACTCTTTGCTTTCACAAAAGAGAGTTAAAAGAAATACATAAATAAAGCTTAAACTTAAAAATCTATTTACTTGTAAATACTAATAAGAGTTATCTGTGGCAATTATAGTGTAGATTACTAATACTTACGGTTCTCCTCCTTTAGAAATTAGGCAACTCCATCTTTGGCCAATGAAATGATGTAATGTGTGTGGTTTCCAGATAGAAGACTTTAAAAGTCAGTGCTTAGAGGCCAGCAGGTGGCATGGTGGTTAAGGCACTGGACTCCCACACAGTGGACCGTGGATCAAGTCCTGGACCTAGAGACTTGCTTTCTTCCTTTCTTTCTTTATCTGTTTCTCATTGATGAGTGTGTACACCCAATAGCAAATTAATAACAAATAAAATTAAATAAATAATAATAAAAAGCCAGTGCTTGAGCCACCAAGTTTCTTACATGTTTCCATAATAATGAATAACTTTTCTGGTAACAGAGTAAGGTGATCCTGGGGCCCTAAATGAGGACAATGTGAAAATGAGTCCCTAAATAACCTCCTTTGAAAATGAGTGAGAAAATAACATGAAATGAAAACAATATTTTGTCATTTTGAGCCATTAAGATGTTAAGATTTCCCCTTTATGTTATGTATTGACCTTTACATTGTCTCTAAGTAGATGAGACTATGGACGATAATTTTTTTTATGTTCTCTAATATCATTAAACATTTATTTTTAGGTTTTTCCTATAGGTCATGTGAACTCACTAGAGAGAGACAGAGAGAGGGAAATGAGAAATCGATCCCCCTGGGGGGAGGAGAGATGGCTGGCTAAACCCCAATCCCTTCTCTTCTATTCTCCTCTTGAAATTTTGGGCATGTATCACATAAACCCAACCTGAGTTTCAAGTCACCAGGTCTAGGACTTGAACCATGGTCATCCATGTGGGAGTCCAGTGCCTTAAGCACCATGTCACCTGCTGGTCCCATTATTAAATTTTTTTTAATGGAGCAAGCCTTACTCCAGTAACCAGTAAAACATAATAAAGTCATTTATTTTCATATTTTAAAAAAAGACTCAAAAAAGTTATAAAAGGATTAAATATCTTTAAAGTTTAGGAAAGAAAAATTTAGATGAATCAGGAAATATTTGAGGTTATGACATATTATGGCTTCCCCAAGTTCACTGGGGTTGCTCAACCTTCCTATCTCAGCTTAAGTATTCCTTTCTCCAAAGAATATTTTTCCTGACACCACAGATTAAGTTTAACTCCCTCACAATTGGCTTCCATAGCACTTGGTTCTAATCTTGTAATTGCTTATTCAATGCGTATATCAGGACATCACTTCAGCTCCTCTTCAGATCCTTGTCACCTGACTATAACTTGCTCTAGCTGCCTCTACTTCAGTGCGTTCTGCATAAGGTCTGGTATACTTCCTACATATGCAATCTAATAGTGGCTTACCTCATGCCTTCCAAGTCCAGACTTTCATGTTGATATCAATGTATAACATGCCACCAGACTACACTTGCTCATATTCACAACCAGGAATATAAGAGAGTTAAGATATCTTGGGGGCCTTTGTCCTCAAATGACACTTACGCAGTTTACGGAAGGGTAATCTCATGATTTCAAGCAGTCATTTGTACTTAGCAGTGAGTGCTTGATAGTGCATTTGCTATGGCTTCCCCCTTTTAGGCGTTTTCTAGTGCTGTTGTAACAAAGTACCACAAACTGGGTGGCTTAAAACAACAGAAAATTATTGTCTCACAGTTCTGGAAGATAGATATCCAAAATTAAAGCATTAGCAGAGACACATGCCCTGAGAAGATTCTATGGGAGGCTCTTGCCTTTTCTGGCAGTCCCAGGCATTCAATCACCAAATTGTAGACACATCATTCTGATGTTAGTATCCAGCTCCCATGGTCTTCTTCTGTATCTGTTTTCCTTATAGGGTCACAGCCAAATTAGATTAAGGGCACACTCTACTCCATTATGACTTCATCTTAACTACTTAGGTCTTTAACATTATTTCCAAATAAAGTCACATTCTGAGGTATTAAGTGTTGGGATTTCAACCTATCTTTTTTAGGGATCAACCCATGCCGCTTCTCTTTTCCTGCCTCAGGCTGGTCTCTCACTTCTTCTTCAAAGGACTGTATACCCTAATATAGCAGTGGCAAATTAGTTTTTCTCTCAGACTGTGCTTTCTGAGGAACTCTTTCTGTGAGATCACACGCCAATGACTGATCCTCACTATCCAATAGACGGGTAAATCAGGTCAATGAGCAAATCCTTATTTTGCTGAGGAAATCAAGACACAGATTAATTGGCTTTTCCATGTTTTCCCAGCAATGCCCTGGGAGGGAGTCCAAGTCTCCACTATAACCACAGAACCTAGTACAATGCATTATGGGAGTTCAATAACTTCAACTTCTCTTACATCTTCTCTCCACTTTTATTGCTTCCAAATCCACGGGAAAAAAATTATACATGATGTTGAGAAAAAGAGCATAGGAAAGGAGACAAAACTCCTTCCTTTTCTTTTCTTATCCTCTTACCCCTTAGAACAGTAGATCACTACTGTTTTGGAAGTAATTTTTTTTTTATTGTTGATCCCATTTTATAAAAGACAAATTTATCATTGTTTACTATAGCTTTGAATCAGGTAACCTACCCACCATAAAGCTTATTTTTCTAGATACAATAAAATATTCATCCTCACAATTGAGAATTCAGATGGATCTAAGTTTACACCCTGGTTCTACCACTTAGCAATTGTGTGACTTGGGCAAGTTACTTAGTCCAAAATTTCTCTAAGACCCAGTTTATTTATTATAGATGACTATTACTAAAGGCTGTTTAGAGAATTAAGTATTTTGGCATAGTACCTGGAATATAGCTGATACTTAATAAATATAATTTTTGTAAGTGCCTATGTTTTTGGGGGGTTTTCCCCCCAAATTCTGTTTTAAACCTCTGATTGAACAAAGAATCAGCCCATTTGGAGGTGGGTTAAAACACCCAGTAGGTGAGGCTCACAGAATACAACCTACCAGGACAACTAGAAAAGATGTAGGTGTTTAAAGAAAACCTGATAGTAGGTATAGGGTTGCTGTAGTAAAGAGAATGGAATTAGATCTGGGAATCTAACAAGCACCTTTATAGGATTAAAATGCTTTCAAAAAGTTGGAAAAAAAGTGGGATATTCGATACTGAACACAGCAATATCTAGTGAGGTGCTGGGCAATGTCAGCATGAGAATTTTGGGAAAGCTTTAGAAAAAAAGAAAGGTTAGAAGACAAAAGTTTAAGAAAGCCTGCTTAACCAAAGAAAGCACATAGCAGAGGAGCAGAAGAAACACAGTATGTAATACTTTAATTCCATACCTTTTGAGAAGTTCATGTTTTATAGTTTTCAGGTGTATGAGGGAACGCTGTTGTTCTTCAAATTTAAATATCTCCACAGTGGACTTCATGTGGGGATGATTCACAACATAAAGATACACAGTATGGTCTAAATGGAGAAAGGCATCATTTCCGAAAAGTTTACTTCTACTGCAAACATTATCAGACTTATTTTAAAACTTGGTCACTTCCAAGGGTTTCTTCATCCATCTTGCATTTGGTCCTCATGGCCCACCTTATACATAAGTCAGACAAGGTAAGAATCCCCGTTTATTGAGCAAATTGAGGCTAAGAAGACAATGGCTCATCAACAATTTTACCGCTAAGACCCCTCCTTCCACATAAGATATGCTGGGTGAGAACATTTTTTGTTCTCTATCTCTTCATGCCATCTCCGTTGCTTTTATTTTCTCTTCTCTTCTCTTCTTTTCTTTTCTTTTTTTCTTTCTTTTTTTTTTTTTTAGAGAGATTTTTGCTATAGGGCATGTGGGCTCACCAGAGAGACAGAAAGTGAGAAATCATCCCCCGGGGGAAATGGCCAAGTCACAATCCTTTCTCCTTCATTCTCCTCTTGAGATTTTGGGCATGCATGTAAAACCTTGTGTGAATTTTAAGCTACTGGGTCTGGGACTTGAACTGTGGTCATCCACATGGGAGTCCAGCAACATAACCATTATGCCATCTTCTGGTCTCTCCATCTCTATTACTATGTGTAATCTGTGGCCTTATGAATTGGATATATTATTAAGAGAGGTGGCTAATAAATAAGCTGTCAATCATAATATACCTAACATCTGGAAGCCTGAAGTTACAGGCTTGAAAGTTAATCTGTAAGTTGATTCTAACACACAAAATAAATAAATAAATAATAAATAAATAAAAGAAGGAAAGAAAAAGAAAGAGAGACAAACAAAACCCATCCACCCTCACCCCAAATAACTCCATCTCAAATACTACCATACAATGAAATAGTTTCAGGTTAATCTGATCATTTATTACACCTCCTCCAATGAAGCCTCTTAATTATAGTATAGTGTAAGGCAAAAAAAAAGCTGTGGCTTTTGAATTATTTAGAGACTTGTGCCCAAATTGCACTCTAGGATTAGATAAAGAATTAGAAGACAGATCGCCTGATTTTCAGTTCGGGATTGGCCGTTTACTAATGACAGAGGTGAAGTCACACTTCATTGCATTTCTCTAAGCTCCATTTTCTCTATGAAATTGAGTATTAATATCTGCTCTGCCTATCCCACAGGGTACTTTCATTTACTCATTTAATACATGTTCATGGACTATCTGCTATACATCAGATATTACTCTACATTTTGGGAATCCAGCAACGAACAAGTCACATATGTTTTTATGGTTATTATATTTTATAGAAGAAAATCAGAAGCAAGGAGGGGAAAAAATAGTAAACTGAAACCCACAAATGATGGAGTAAGGAGATGTCTTCTTCATAGAATGTCACTTACTTGAAGAGTGACAAGAAAGCTTGGATCTTAAGAGGAGAAGGAGCTTGTTATAGAGCAATAGCAGGACAGGTAAAGGTGTTTGGTATCTTTTAACATTAAAAAAAAGAAGTTATAATTTGGGGACCAGCAGTTAGCATAATGGCTATGTCGCTGAACTCTCATGTAGCTGACCACAGTTCGAGTCCCGGACCTAGTGGCTTAAACTTATGCCAGGTACGTGTGCGTGTGTGCCCAAGATCCCTAGAGGAAAATGGAGAAGGGATTGCGGTGTGGCCATCCCCCTTGGGGGGTGATTTCTCGCTTTCTATCTGTCTCTCTCTGTCTTTCTGGTGAGCAAGAATCTTTAAAAAAAAATAGTTATACTTTTGATGATAGCTGAAAGAATTACACTGAAAAAAATGTAACAAAGTACTTATCCTAGAACAAGGGGGGAGGCTATCCTGAAAAGGCAGTATTCAAGCTAAGGCCTGAATACTGAAACTGAAAGTAGTGGGAAAATATTACAAGCAGAGGAAACAGCAGATGCAAAGACCCTGGGGCATGAGGCACTTTATAAAACTAAAATAAATCTAGTTTGGCTGATCCACTCTGGGGGAGAGTGGTGTCCACAAAGCTGGAAAGAGCAGAAAGATGCCAGAATGTGTAGAGGAAGTACCAGGAACCTAAGCCATTCATGAGATTTAGGGTTTATGCTCAGAGTAACAGGAAGAATATGAAGAATTTTAAGGGAGTGACATCATCAGATTGATGTAAAAAGTAACTCTTTTTCTAGGAACAAGCAATGAGTCAGCATAAGGAGAAATAAGTTGGGTGGGCCAATTCACAATTCAGGGGAGATATGTTGGGGGCTCAGACTGGGACAGGGAAAGAAGGCTGGGGAAAGGCAGAGACACTGGAGAAGTATTTGAGGGTTAAATTGGACAAAACATTATAATGAGTTTACTGAATGTATTGGGGAATGGGGAATTGTCAAGGTTAGGCCTAGAGCTTTATTTGATAAATAAGAAACTATTATATATGAAAATACTTTGTAAACTGTAAAGCAATGCAAAATTGATAGGTACAATTATCTTTTAAAGCAAAGCTAGCTAAGCAAATAAAAACCTGTATGTGTGATTTCAGAGGAATATTTAACCTACTTAATAGAACACTCTTCAAACATTTTGAAAAGTATCCCATTTATTTAAAAATGAACAAATCTATGTTGGTATAGACCAAAGGAATTGAACAAAGATCTGTTGGATAAGTGTATAGAAATAATTGTTAATTATTTTTTTATTCATTAAAATCACTTTCAACAAAATTCTATTTAATGCATTGTAACTTCACTTTGTATTTATAATAATTAAAACAATTCTTTAAAAATTCTACATTTCCACATTTTAATTTGGCCTTCTTTTCATGTCATTACTATTAGAAAGTTTCACTGTTCTTATTTTTCTATATGTCCTATGGACTCACAAATACTTAAAAATTAAACTAGTTTGGAATTATAAACAATGAGCAAGTCAAAAATAATAATAGGAATTGTTTGCAAAGCATATACATGTATTAATAACTACGTTATGTTTTTACAATGGCTTTTTTAGATTTAATTCACATTTATCATTACATTCAAATTTTTTTTTTTTTGAGAGAGATTTTTCTATAGGGTGAGTGTGCTCTCAGAGGGCCAGAGAGAGACAGAAAGTGAGAAATCACCCTCTAGGGATGGTGGCCACACTACAATCCTTTCTCCTCCATTCTCCTCTCAGGATTTTGGGCACACACACACATGCACGTGCACCCAGCACAAGTTCCAAGCTGCCAGGTCTGGGACTTGAACTGTGATCGACTATTTGGGAGTCTAGCCATGTAACTATCACATCATCTGTAGGTCCCTAAATTAAAACTGTTAAAATGCTGGATTGGCTCTGTAGCCTACAGGTTAAGAAAGTTGGATCTCACATGACCAACTGCAGTTCAAATATCAGGCCTGGTGACTTGAAAAACATGCTAGGTGCACTAATAGAAGAAAAGAGTAGAATGGTGATTATAGAAGCTGGAGAGTGGAGGGAATGGGAAGACAATGGTCAGAGGATACAATATATTAGCTAAGAATATATTGTAGGGATCTGTTTTTAAATTATTTTTTAGTTTTATTGCATAGCATAGTAAATATAATTAATAATAAAGTATTGTACATATAAAAACTGCTCAGAGAGTAAATTTCAAATGATCTCACCATCAAATGATAAGTATGTGAGGTGATGAACATGTTAATTAGCTTGATTTAATTATCTAATATTGTGTTCATAAATCATATCATCATTTTGTATACCCTAAATTCACATAATATAAATGATTGATTTGCAATAAAAATATGTGAAATGCAAAGCAAAGAGAATTAATTCAGTAGGTTTAATACATTCAGAGCTGTGCATCATAGTCACTATCTGGTTTCAGAGCATTGTCATCACCCCCCTTAAAAACTTACATACATTTCTACTACTACTACCAATTCCCCACTTCCCCAGTTCCTACTATTAATCTACGTTCTGTCTCTATGAATTTGCCTATTGAGAACACTGCATATAAATGGAATCATACAACATGCGCCCTTTGGTGAATTAATTCTTTCACTTAGTATAGCATTAACAAAGTCCATCCATGTTGTAGCATGCATCAGAAGTTCATCCCTTCTTATTGTCAAATAATATTCCACTGTATAAATATGTACCATTCTGTTTATGTATTCATCAGATGATGGGCATTTGGGTTCTTTCCATCTTATAGGTTAGGAGTAATACTGTTAGGGAAATTCATGCACAAGTTCTTTTGGGTATACATCCAAGGAGTGGAGCTGTTGTATCATTTAGTAACTATGTTTAATATTTTGAGGACTACTAAATCATTTTCCCCAGTGACTGTAACATCTTAGAACCCACCAGCAAAGTATAATGATTCCAGTTTTTCCACATCCTTGCCAACATTTGTTATTGTGCTTTTCATTATCATCATCTGAGTAGATGTGAAGTGATATCTCATTCTGGTTTTGATTTGCATTCCCCTAATGACTAAGTATGTTGAATGTCTTGTCATGTACTTAGTGACCATTTATAACCTTCTTAGAAAAAATGTCTATTCAGCTCATATGTCCATTTTTTAAACTGGGTTCTTTGTCTTTTTTTGTTGAGTTATAAGAATTATTTACATATTCTAGATACAGGCTTCTCACCTGGTACATGGTTTACAAATAGTATCTATCATTCTTTAGGTTATTTTTTCACTTTCTTGATAGTGTTATTAAAGTTTTTCATTTTAATAAATCTAATTTATCTATTTTTCCCTTATATTATGTTTTAATATCACACAATTATTTTTAAAGGACAATTAGTTTGTACATTAGATTTCTGAGAACAGTATTCAAACAGGTTGTGATAGTTAAATAAGAAAATTTTATGGAAGAAAGAAGAGAACACATAAAGCCAAAAGTAGCAATCTTGATTCCTGAAATTTTATTTTATCTTATTTTATTTTATTTTATTTTTAATTTGCCTACCCAAAAAAGACAGAGGTGGGAGAGATGGAGAAGGCACCTGGTATATTTCTCAAGCCACCAGATCTGTTACTCAAAAAACATGGCTATGTGGAATTCAGCCTCAACCACCATGCTGGCTAATCTTCCCTAGCATTCTTTCTTTAAAGAAAAGTTTAAAAATGTTTTTAGGGCCAGCCAGTGGTTAAGGTGGCTCAATCCCACATGGCTTGAAAAACATTCCAGATGTTGGGACCAGCAGTTGGTGTAATGGCTATGTGCCTGGACTCCCATGTAGTCGACTGTGGTTTGAGTTCTGGACCCGGTGGCTTAAACTCATGCCAGGCGCGTGTGCATGTGTGCCCAAGATCCCTAGAGGACAATGGAGGAGAAGGGATTGTGACGTGGCCATCCCCCTGGGGGGTGATTTCTTGCTTTCTGTCTCTCTGTCTTTCCAGTGAGCGCATGTGCCCTATACCAAAAACCTCTCCAAAAAGAACCAGATGCATGTACATACATACCCAAAATCCAAAAGGAGGGAGAAATGGAGAAGAAAATATTGTAGCATAACCATTCCCCACGGAAGATGTTTTTCCCACTCACACTATGCCTGTTTCTCTCTGGCAAGTATAAACATCCTATAGTAAATTTTTAAAAAATATATAAATTTATATCCACCTATAATTTTATGAATATACACTGTAATAAACAAATAGCATCCTCCCTATTCATTTAACGTATGTTAGGTACTCAACATAGTTGGGTAGTTGGATATTAATGGTTTCTATTTCCTTTATTTCCCCTTACTCAGATGTTACCTTTGTCGATGAAAGTACTAATCCCATGTGGATTAAATAATTCTTTGTCAAATCCATCACTGATTTGTAGTGGTTGAGCCTTTGGGTTTTGCTCATTCATATCCATCAGGAAGATTTTTCCTGGTTTATCTGGTGCAAAATTTGGCATTCAAAAAAAAATTTTAATCCCTTTAAAAATAAAGAATAAATATGCACGCATATACATATCAAAACAATGTTTGTTATAAGGAAGAAAAAAATCTCAAAACCAAACAAAAATATTCAAAGTTCTAAATGTCATTTAGATTTCTAGAATTTTTCACTGGCAGCTGTTGCCATTATCTAATCTGGGAAGGTACTAAGCATTGACTATGAATATGGGGGCAATCATATTCAAGATAAGAAAGAATTTTTAATTTACAGAGACGTCAAAAACCATAATGCAAAAGAGTAGATGTGCTTCTCTGTGTGGGTACACTGGCCTGCTTATGCCTCATGTTCCTCATCTATAAAATGAGGTTAAAATGTTTGACTGATAAAATTCTTTCTAGTTCTGATATTTTATAACTTACCATCCCCAAAGAAGAGAGAAGAGACGTATGGTTTAATGTGATTACTCCCACCCTGACACCATTTATATGATCTAGTAGCAAATAGTAGAATCATCCAACAATTAACACAATACCTATTTTGCATATGTGACTACTTCTGACCTTTTGCTTCTGTAGGAGTGTCTGAAAATTCTGACATAAATTCTTTTCTCCAGATACTGCAAAAATGTTCATTTAAATAACTTTGACAGTGGCCCTTTTTACTGGTAGAATTAGGTGTTTATCAACCAATAATAGGTGCCCTGAATGCATTGGACTTTTGTTCATTGTCATACCTTGGGATTGATTCTTCCATGCCAATTACAAAATAGTCTACTTCCTCCACTTGTCCCTCTCCCATCACTCTGATATGTCTCAATATCAACAACTTTATAGCTTCTCCTATACCCTGACTTCCTTTTATGGTCAATTTCAATTCTTTCTTTCCTACTCTCTCTTCTTGTTCTATCTCCTCTCCCTACACTTTTTTTTTTTTTTTTGAGAGGTTTTTGCTATAGG